TCTCATACTGCCTCCCACCTGAGCTCCATCGTCCATCCACCCACCAGTCAGCCATCAATGACGCAATGTGTCCATTTGGAGCCAACATGGTGCACAGATGTTTCTTGATTGTGCAGATATGTAAAACAAAAGCACAGAATGAACATTCCAGCCTTATGGCAATTCAAAATACTGTAATAGGAATAATAGGCCGTGAATCTGTGAAGTCACAGTGGGCACCCTGGACCATCTCCCACCCACCACCACAAGCCGGCGTGACGCTGGGCGGACCCCTTCCTACCCGAACTTTGTTCGGGTAGCATGACTCCCCAACCCCAATCGGGAAACTGGAAGTTTCGGATAACTAAAGTTCGGAAACCAAGTGGTGCTCTGTATATATATATTATTATATATATTATATATATATATATTATTATATATATATATATATATATATATTATATATTTATATATTATATATTTATATATATTATATATATATATATATATATATATATATATATATATATATATATATATATATATATATATATATATATATATATATTATATATATATATATATATATTATATATATATATATATATATATATATATATATATATATATTATATATATATATATATATATATTATATATATATATATATATATATATATATATATATTATATATATATTATATATATATATATATATATATATATATATATATATATATATATATATATATATATATATATATATATATATATATATATATATATATATATATATATATATAATATGTCGTACCTAATAGCCAGAACGCACTTCTATGCCTACTATTCAAGGCCCGGTTTGCCTAATAAGCCAAGTTTTCATGAATTAATTGTTTTTCGACTACCTAACCTAACCTAACTTTTTCGGCTACCTAACCTAACCTAACCTATAAAGATAGGTTAGGTTAGGTAGGGTTGGTTAGGTTCGGTCATATATCTACGTTATTTTTAACTCCAATAAAAAAAAATTGACCTCATACATAATGAAATGGGTAGCTTTATCATTTCATAATAAAAAAATTAGAGAAAATATATTAATTCATGAAAACTTGGCTTATTAGGCAAATCGGGCCTTGAATAGTAGGCATAGAAGTGCGTTCTGGCTATTAGGTACGACATATATATATATATATATATATATATATATATATATATATATATATATATATATATATATATATATATATATATATATATATATATATATATTATATCTCAATATAAATTATTGATTGGTAGACATTCACTACTATATTAGACTAACACTCTTCGTGGTTGAGGTTGGCTTCAACACGCGTACTGGTGTACTAGGTAATTATATTCTGCTTCTCCCACTTCAATTACACCTGTCAAAGGGCACACTAATAGTAATAACCTGTATGACAGCTATATCAGGGGAAATATTGGTATAATTTATTAGATGAGATTAATAATAGTCTTGTTTCAATTCGTATCATACCCGGGTCACCCTAATCTACCTACACAACTGGCCAGGAATGTGGGGATTTATAACAGGTTTCGGCTAGAACTTTTCCCCTTATAGTAGACGTAGTTGGTGCTGATAACGGGAACACTATTAGTTCTAACACTGGTCCAAGGGTAAGTTATCGGAGCTAGATTTGCCCCAACGAGACTGTTAAATTAAATGGCGACTGACTGGCCTCCCTCCCACTCACGCCTCGGCTGTTTTGTCCACATGTCGTCAAGAAATGAAAAGAGGGTCCACATTTACTCTATTTTAGTACCAGTACTGATAATTAAGTTGGTTCAAGGGAAATGTTTTCATGATGTTTACAGTCCAGAGACTGAAATATTAAGATGAATTCCTATTAATATACTGTAGCTGGTGAATTTAATAGCAAAGTGGCAATGATATCCCCATTTTTTAAAGCGAGGATAGTGATAAAAGCAGTATTCACTTTAATAGTAATTAAAGCACTATTTCTAGGATTATTTTATTACAAACAGCAATATTATCTGTATTGTATTAAATGTTAGTAAATGGTGTTGGTGTTTCCGACAGGCCTTCAGATTTCAGACATATCACAAACTAAGCATAATTGCAAAGAGGGTTTTTCTATTTTAATCAAGTTTCTAATAAGTGTTGCTTTTGCTATTTATACTGTGAAGTCATCAAGATTTTAATAGTACAAAATATGAAATTGGGTTCATTTTAAATTTTGTAATAGTAAATATGTAAACTCACTTAATAAAATGTTAACACAATACCAGGCTATAAGTGTTCAAAATACTTTATGTAGAATATAATAAATACAACCAATAAGCATCCTTGCATAGGAATTTTATGTATTTTACCTGAACAAAAACAGTCTAGGCCAACTATGGGTACTGCCCTTTCCGAGGATGTAACCCACAAGTTAATAAACTCTCAAGTGCCAGTTGATTATTAGGTGAACAGAGTCATCAGGTGAAAATGTCTAAGCATCTCTGTCCTCCTGTGGGACTTGAACCCGGGACCTGCCAGTTGTGACCCAACTGTGCTGACCACTGCGCTACATCATACCATTAATCATCATTGCACTCAAAATACTGAGTTTTAAAAGTAAAACAATTGCATGGAGATAGCGAGTGTAATTGTAAATTAGTACAGTATCTTTTTTTTTTCTTTAGACTAGGGTTCATAAGGGCTGTAATATGTGAAACTGCAAGCAAGAGCTGTAATTCTGTCTCAGCTCAGTTGAAACCTGCTTATAGACCCATTTATTTCGTGAGCCTATTTTATGCATCAATAGGAATAAACTTTATTCATTAATCACTTAAGTGATCTAGTTTGTTAAAATAGTTATACTGAAAAACCTGTCAAAGCTCAGCAGACACTAATCTTAAATGTTTTCCCACTTATTTTAATTTAATCAAATGGTTACTTTTTAAATAAGATGTTATTAGCACTAGATTCAGGAGTGCTTTGTTGGCAAGTAATATTTAATCATTACAACTGGATATTTTGTTAATCTATACATACATTTTATTCCAGTTTTATGAATATGGTCGTTCAGGTAATCCAACCCGAAGTGTCCTTGAAAAGTGTCTGGCATCAACTGAAAATGCAAAGCATGGTAAGTTAATAAGTTACTGTACTGTATTTGTTAATGCTTACATTAGTTATTATTAGTTAAGGAAGAGCTGGTATGAGTTGCCAACAAATGCTTTTGGTTCTCTGGACGTTTTTGACAAATCGGGTTGCTGTATAATGTAGATCAAGGTTCCTAACAGGGAACCTTGATGGAAGAAATTTGAAAGGGACCATGGGACGCACATTATGTATTGTACAGAGTAATCACACTAATGTAACTGCATCAATGAGAAAATTTGTAAAAGCAGTGATGAGGGTTTGAACCTACGCGGTGGATGTTTTACCAGAACCACGATATCAACTAGACCACTAGTTGCTGGAAGCATGTGGGGGGGGGGAACACCCAACGCATAGGTTCGGATTCTCATCACTGCTCCTATGGATTTTCTCATTATGCATTATATTCAAACAAAAACCAGGTAGTGTTGAAATGAATTTCTCCCGTTACCATTTACATGCAGTTTTAACTGAGAATAGCCATTCAGGGCTTGATGTGTGTATCTGTAGCAGCAATGGCTACTGTCAAGTATACTAGCTTGATCTATTTTGTTGTAGGGGAAAGTCTGTTAGGCATATTGAGGGGTCCCTAGTAACGAGCAAGGGTGTCTGCATAAATCCCATCCAGTGGTTGGCCTTAATGTGATAATGTGAGTGATGTATGTCAACCCCCCCTATATGCCACACCTGATGATAGCATCTGGTGAAAATCTAAAAATCAGATTCTTATTGCTTACAAAACTGTGGGGCTTTCACTTAACCCCTAAAGTTTGGCTATCAAAGGTACCTCTCTGTTTGCAAAAATTGTGCCGAGAGATTACCGGGCGAGGGGAGGGGGGAAGGTCATTTAGTATGTGGACTGACATGTCATAGATTTGCTGAAGAGTTAAATGAAAGAGCGAGCTGTGATGATCATGTTAGAGGACTTATGTTTGCCGCTGCCTCTTTAGTTTACAAAATATTTGGAATAACTTTAGTTACACATAATTGAAACAAAAATTGAATACTGTATGTAGATCTACAGTGTAATATGTACAACTATATTGCATGTAAATGTTCCTGGCACAACTTAATGGAAGTGTTGTACTACCTATTCTACTATTATTCTGTCTGGTAATGTCTCCAGAAATGATTCAGATACCAGCAGGAAATACCAAATTGGGTTTTGATGATAGTCTTTCCCGAATTCACTTGAGGCCAGAGTCTTGAGTGGCATTGATAGGGACAGGAAGCTGGTAGCTTGTCAAAGGTCTCTTGTTGGTTGTACAAGATAACCTCATCTATAGCAATCATTTACAAATTATACCAGTATATTTTTCATGAGGCAAAGTTAACTCCAATGTAATGCTAATTACTTGGGGGGACGACCGGGCCGCGGGGACGCTAAGCCCCGGAAGCACCTCAAGGTAGGTAAGGGGGGGGGGATGGACAAATGTGCAGTATGGTAAGTTTAGATGAATATTTGAAGGTTTAGTTACAATGGCTGTTTGAATGGTGATGGCGTAGTGACAAGTAGAGTTGTAATATGCTGATAGTGAAGATGTCTAGATAGATGGTGGTTCTTGGTAAGTGTGTAATGTTGTTGCTACCTGGTGTGTGACTGGTGATTTTGTTGTTGTTTTTAGATTTAGCTACTCAGAACGAAATGTCCATGTAGCACGGGCTATGGTGAGCCCCATAGAGTTTTTTAAATGTTACCCATATGAATAAAAATGAAAGACCCATGATTGTGGGTCTGTTTCATTTTCATTCATGTGGGTAACATTTAAAAGCATTGCAGTCTTTTGAAACTTTTACAAGATCTAACCTAGATGATGAACCTCCAGCCCAAGTTTCAGCATGTCAACCTGACAGGAAATCGTTGGGGGGGCAACATTTAAAAGTTTCAACGAGTATGCAAACTGATTTTAAAGTTCATGAATTTAACTAGTGGAATAGTCTTGAGTAACATTCAGAAAGAGGATATTACATAACCTTTATTTGCTGGAAAATAATGATGAGCCATTACGAGTGTAGCCGTCATTCTGTAATTACTTTACACAAATAATTACACACCCCCGTCACTTGCCCACCTCAGTATTACCAGTACAGTATTTAAAGTGTTACTCCCTCTTTATGCATTATAACCCTTCCTCTGGAGATAAGCTAGCCCAGTTAGGTTACATTGTAAACATCTGGTATTTAAAAAAATCATGCCTGTAATCTTCATATTATCTTGTGTATATGCTGATAAGATTTTTCCATTTTTAGGCTTGACATTTTCTTCGGGTTTGGCTGCCACTACTACGATAACGCATCTCCTCTCTGCTGGCGACCACATTATCTCCATGGATGACCTCTATGGTGGCACCAACAGATACTTCAGGCGTGTTGCCTCCCGGTAGGCAATGCTTTCTCCTGAACCTTCAAGATGACTTCACAAGCTTAAAATTATTAACTTTTGTACCAAAATATTCAGAAGAGTATGATAAAGTTGACTGCTTGCTTACATAACGGTGCATATTTAATAAGGCCAATAGTACGCATTGCTTGTTGGGCATAACTTGAGATAAAATTATCACTTAACCCCTTAACTGCGTTGCCTCCAAATGTGACACCCCCGCAGTGCGCAGGAAATAAATTCTCTGGAAAAAATTCTTTTTTCTTTTTAAAGTGTCAAAAACTCTTCCCTCAGTATGGGTATGTAAAAAAAAAAGTCGAAATTATACTTACTTTGGCTGCTATGGGGTCCGAAAGTTGGGGCGTGACGTCATCATTCCCCGTGCGCCCGTGCCGTAAGCTCTCGGGGGCGGTGGGGCGCTCGGGGCGGGGCGCGCGAGTTGCCGCGAATATATTTTCGTTCATTTTTTGCGCACCTTTCCAAATACATTTTCATTGTTTTTATGTGCCAATCCAATGTATAATGAACACGTACACTATAATATCGCAGTACAACATCCGTACTGTCCGTAGACACTGTGTTACGTGCATGAAACTTGTGTACACATATGCAGCACATATTTACTATGTATCATGCTAATTTGTGTATATATACAATCTATTTACACACTATATACATTCACCATCAACACATTCAGAATACCGCGTAGCAGCTGCTTCGTATGGGCCAATAGCAGCTGCTTCGTGTGGGCCAATAGCAGCTGCCTCGTATGGGCCAATAGCAGCTGCCTCGTATGGGCCAATAGCAGCTGCCTCGTATGGGCCAATAGCAGCTGCCTCGTATGGGCCAATAGCAGCTGCCTCGTATGGGCCAATAGCAGCTGCCTCGTATGGGCCAATAGCAGCTGCCTCGTATGGGCCAATAGCAGCTGCCTCGTATGGGCCAATAGCAGCTGCCTCGTATGGGCCAATAGCAGCTGCCTCGTATGGGCCAATAGCAGCTGCCTCGTATGGGCCAATAGCAGCTGCCTCGTATGGGCCAATAGCAGCTGCCTCGTATGGGCCAATAGCAGCTGCCTCGTATGGGCCAATAGCAGCTGCCTCGTATGGGCCAATAGCAGCTGCCTCGTATGGGCCAATAGCAGCTGCCTCGTATGGGCCAATAGCAGCTGCCTCGTATGGGCCAATAGCAGCTGCCTCGTATGGGCCAATAGGAGCATTTGGCCATGAACACATTCAGAACACCTTGAGTGAGAGCAGCCACACCCAGCCAGTCTCCCTCACTCCAACATCTTGCTCGCCAACATTGCTCCTCCCACCAGATTGCTATAGTTCTTATTACACATGTTCTATATACCTATCTACATGTTTTATTTACCAGAACTATGCAAGTAAGCCCGTATTGTGTCCAAACAGTACAGTGGCCACCATACACTGCATGAAAAATCACACAGCAGACGACGCTACGATTACGTCACCTCCCTCACCAAAATAGCTCCTCTCAACATTCTCCTGTTGCTGTTCTTACACTATATACACACACTATATATACCCATGTACATATGTGTTGCCCATAGCAAACCACTAAGCTAGTATGGTGAGCAAAACAAGAGTGGCAGCCCCACACACACAATGAGGCTACCTCAATTCTCGCCCTCCCTCCCTCATCAAAATTCCTCCTTCCACAATACTACGCACAACGCTAATTATAACCACAATCCTGCTATTATCACAATCCTGGTCACTAATTCCTGTAAATGAATAATTGACCACGCGTTTATTTTGAAAAGGAACCTAAGAAATCATTTGAAGATTCCTAGATGAACGAAATGATGCTGTGGTGCTGTGGCTAGCGCTGTGAACATCGTGAACAGCATTGAATCACTGATATTTGAACATTGTACCCAGTCATTATCACACTCAGGCTCTAATATAACACTATCATAGCTAAATAATACAAGTTAAGTGGAACCTCTATTAACGAGTTTAATCCGTTCTGGCACCGAGCTCGTTACCTGGAAAACTCGTCTTAAGAAACAAATTTGCCCATTTAAAATAAAGGAAATAAATTTAATCCGTTCCACTCCCAAAAACTTCCATACTTGTATGACTTTTTTTTATGTAAATATAATACTGCACATGTAATTATAAATGTTTTGTTGTACTGTTTATGTTTACTTTACCTTATGAAGAGTAGTTTCTGGCTTCAGGGAGACGATGGAGAGGTGGAAAGGAGGAGAGGGGTTATGGTGTGGAAAGAGAATCCACCTCTGAGTCAGGCGGACTCTCTCTTCTTGGGAATTTCACCCAAATTTCATTTCAAATGTGTCACAAGGATGCGTTAGACCAGCACCAAATAAAAAACTACGTTGATTACACTCGTTGTGTCAACAATATAATGGTCTTACCACAAAGATACAATACAATGCCGTTCTCCCAAATAGGCAATGTGGTTATTAGAGAAAACGGAAATTTCATGGCAAACATTTATACAATCCCCAAGTCGATCAGATAAGAATTGGATTTTATAGAAATATTTGCTCAAATGACGTTTGAGTGCGGTGTTTTGGTGCATTCAAGAGAAAGTGTCACGTTCAAGCGACATATACCTGCGAAAGTGATAACACTTTCACAAAGTGTTATCACAAAGTGATAAATTAATTAAACATTTTCACACACCGGGTTGTCACTGCTTTATCAGGGCAGCTTTTCCAAGAATGTGTTCACCTTTTCAAACATTCCAAACACTTCCCTGATCTCAGTGGAAGAGGCAGCATCCTCCCTTACCTCCTCATTCCCTTACTAATGGTGTAAATTGTTGATGAGGACCTGCCATACTCCCTTGTGAGATCAGTCACACAGACACCACACTCATGCTTTGCTATAATTTCCTTCTTTAAATCCACAGTAATTGTGTCTTTCTTCCTCTTGACAACACTATCTTTAGCAAGCAGCTTCTTTGGAGACATCGTGTGTTACAAATTGTAGTCGCAAAACCACTAAAAACCCAAAGAAAAACTCAAATAAATCCAGAGGGATGCTTGACGTGTGCGAAAAAACAACACTGGCGTCGGAGGCGTCCGAGAATTTGCGAGAACCCGCGAGATGCTAGGTAGCACCATGTGGTTTTGCTCGTTAATAGAGGCGAGCTCGTCAATAGAGACAAATTTGCTGCGAGTGGCTTGCTCGTTACTGGAAAAACTCGTTAATAGAGCCACTCGTTAATCGAGGTTCCACTGTTAAGTATATATATTTTGACATTATTAGGCGATGCTGTGGTCACATGCTGAACAGCAGTGCTGTGCGCTCATGCTGCGAGCGCCAGCCTTGGTTGCTCACACACTACTGAGGCTCCCACACCCGGGAATGTGGACCACGATTTTTTTTAAAGATGGCGTCTGTTTACAAGAGCCCTGAGGAAGCTGATGTGAACCCCATGTAGCCGCGGGAGTTTTGAATGGAACGTGAAAAATACAAATACCCGGAGGCGCGTTGCGCAAACCAGACATGAGCCTGCAGGCGCGTTGCGCAGTTTAAGGGTTAAAATCACTTAATTTATTGTTAGGTTTAATGGAGTAAACATTTAATACTAAACAAAAAGTAAGGTAGCATATGACTTTTTAAGAACTTTGGATAATGATATGCAATATTTAGGTAACAATGATGAAAAACAAAGGCATACACTATTTAGTAAAGTACATGTATATAGAATTTACAGTAATAACAAAACACACAAATGTCTTATTTTGGATGAGGAAATGTGATTGAAATTTGTTACATGATGTTAGATATTTCATAGTTTCTATTTTAAACAAATTGGGAGAAGTGCAGCTTTGAATTTCGTGTGGGTGCTATTTCCATAATTTGTGAATCTTAATTTGCATAGCATTTCTGCTTTGGTCGAGCCTGCTTTCCGACCGTCCCTCGTGGTCACTTGTCCCTTGATAGAATTCTTGGTGAACTGGATACTTTTGATATCGTTCGCCTTATGCGTTTCTGTTCTCGTATTGACATTCTCAGTGATATTTAGCGCCCTCTGATTATTTCGCACTTTGATGGTGCTACATAGCCTTCTCGGTTTGGTGCCTTCTTTTGATGATTATCTTACCTTACCTTTGGTCGAGCCTCTGCAGGAATATAAAAAAAGATGTTTCTAGAGTGGTGCCCATGGGTTCTGTTACATCATCTTCAGGTAACATTTAATGTCAGGCTTAATATTGTTGTGTTATAGAACAGGAAGTTGGAAGGACAGGAAGTTATACCATAACCCTTGAACGGCACAACTGTTAAATGCTGAAATCGCCATGGGGTGCAAGAAAAAAATAGTTATGAAAAAAAAAAATTCTTTAACTGGCCTCCAGGAAGCACAAAAATTAAAGTAAAAAGTGTTGTGGTTTAGCCACAGTGACCTGGATAATTTGGGATTTTTTTTTATTGGTAGAAGAGGTGGTACCGCATAGGAATAACTTTAGCGATTTATTTTTGTTTCTCGCTTTATTCCATAAATTTTTCTGTGCTATAGGTTGCATTGATGTCTCAAAGGTGGTGGTTATGTATAACATTTAAAATAGAAGTGTATGGAAATGTGTGTAAATATATGGACACTAATGTATTTATACTAATATAAATATTAGGCCTATATATATAAGCCTAAATCTTAAAATTTCACATAGTACATATTTTGCCTGAAATATATACAGTACATGGTAATCACTTGTTTGCTTTTGTTAAAAATTTTCTCTCCTCTATGGCTGCCTTAAACGTTCAGACACTGGATGGTGGTGGTGCCAAAAAATGGTCCTCATTTTTTTTTTATTAAGACCCAAGAAGGAAAGTAAGGGACTGGATTTTTTAAAAATGGGAGATAGTTGTTGGAGGCTGGAGGAAACAAATATGAGCCCTGTGTATGTGCAGGGCTATTTTATTTTAAATCTGCAAATCATATACATATATATGATTGGCGCCCTCCAGCCAGTTAGACCATGTATTTATATGGTTCTCACTATCCAAGGGTTAATTATTACACCATTAATTTTTACTCCATGAAGTACACAATTATTTTATACTTGATTTGCTACCTACACCTTTAAGACATCAAATAACTGTATATGCTAATCACTACTTTTTCTTTATTAACTTTATTGTATTTTTTAAGTCTGTAAATGCCACATACACCTTAAATCTTGCATGCCTTCTGTGTAAGATGTTGTATTGCAAATATCTGATCTACAAGCCTTCTTTCACCACTGAGCCCTCTTTGTTCATCAATGATAAATTTCTATAAATTCCTGTAATCTTTTGATCACTATCCTGCCACTTTATGCCCACTACACTCTCTAAACTAATGCCTCTTAATTTCTTCACTACTGCACTTTCACTTTTTTTTTTCTAGAGTGGTATAATCACTGCTCTTTTTTCCAATCCTCTGGCACATTGCCACTATTTCGTCCCTTCTGGCAGCGTCTCCCCACCTGCATTCCCTTTTCAATCAAATCATTATTGTGTATACTGCTCAATGCTTGTACAATAATGTCAATATTGCAATATTTATGTTTACGGAATTTGATTTGTGGTTTCATGATCCTTTTCAGGATGGGAATTGAGGTAGATTTTGTTGATGCAGTTGATCCAAAGAATGTGGAAGCAGCATTTAAACCCAACACGAAGATGGTTTGGATTGAAACTCCAACCAATCCTACAATGAAGATTGTTGACATTGCAGCTGTGGCAGCTATAGTGAAAAAGCATACCAAATCATTCCTGGCTGTGGACAACACATTTATGTCTCCATATTTTCAACGACCTCTTGATCTTGGAGCAGATATGGTGATGCATTCGGTAACGAAGTATATCAACGGACACACTGACGTCATCATGGGAGCTGTCTGCACTAATCGGTAATGCAAAGTAATGGTGTCCTTTGATTTTTTGTTCTTTATATTACTGACTACATTTGTTTACATTCTATTTGAGCTTGTTATTGATTGTGTGCTGCATATGCAGTATGAACATGTGATGGGTGGGCTCTAGAATACTAATAACTTCCAAACAGTATTGCACCATCAGTTACTGGTTTTCTTTATTAAATAACTCCCTTAAATTAATCCACATTAATTTCAGTTGTTAGGCTAGAGCATCATGCATTGACTTGTGTAGCTGAGATTGGCAGCTCTTTGGAAATAACACTGAACAGAGAAGAATGTTCATGTACAGTACTGTATATTTATACTACATGCCTTCCCTACTAATTTATTCTTGTTCATTCCACAATAAGAACTTGGGTGTACTTCAATTCAGTAAGTTTCATCAAAACTTGTGTATTTTAAACTGCATTGTCACTTACAGGGATGACCTTCATGATGAACTTCGTTTCCTCCAAAATGCTATCGGACCTGTTCCTTCCCCATTTGATTGTTACTTGGTTAATCGGTCACTCAAAACCTTGGCACTGAGAATGGAACAACACATGAAGAATGGTTTAGCAGTGGCCAAGTTTTTGGAGACTCACCCTTGTGTGGAGAAGGTCCTTCACCCTGGGTTACCATCTCACCCTCAGCATGAGGTAAGGAAGTGCATTTTCCACTTTAACCGTCGCTTGAAGCTTGAAAAATTTACATTTTGATACATTTTTGTATAACCTGAAAATCATTCATTTACTTTTTTCTCTATGCAGCAGAGAACCCTATGAAAAAATTCCCCTAGGTCAGTGTATATTGCTGTGTTCTTTGTATGACAGTGTTCTCACATTAATTTCATTTTGTATCTTTAGGCCTACAGTACTTGAATTTTTGTGTATTAGTTTTCTTGTACTAATCTCAAGTTATCCATTGTTTTTCTTTCACATTGCTATTTCTCACCATTTAAACTTCTTATATTACTAACTACTCCTTATAATACTAAACCATTTGTCTTGTCGAGTTTTAAGTTAATTGTATTCATATATTATCCTTATACTAAAAATTTAAATTCAAGCACTTTATTCTGTGTAGCTGTAATTGACATGTGCTTCACTGGCATGTTTGTAAACAGAAGATTACACAATTAGAGAGATTCAGTTTTGTCAGTTGCTGTCGTCCCTATTTTTCTTTTAATGTTTTCACTACCATGGGACTACAATGTTATGGTTATGGGGGACCAGTTTTTCTGTGACCAGTATCTGATTCTCTATTGAAGCTCTACACTTGATCATTTATCTTTTCTCTAACTGTAAACACTACAACCAAATATTGTATACTGGACTATTTTTTTTAATTTACCATTTGATTACAGATGTTTTAATTCTTTGATTATGGTTTCTTACTGTGAAATGAGTGCTGTAATTGACTGACAAAATATAGATTCCTTAGAATATACACCATCAAATTTATACCCATTTATAATATTGTTGTTTGTCGTTTTCAGTTATCCAAGCGTCAGTGTTTTGGTCAGTCTGGCATGTTGAGTTTCTACATCAAGGGAAACGATTTAGAGACATCAAAGAAATTCTTTAAGCAGTTGAAAGTGTTCACGCTTGCTGAGAGTTTGGGAGGATACGAGTCACTGTGTGAGCTTCCGTAAGTTACTAAAAAAAGTAGTAACATTAGTAATTTAAATTTTTTTTATAGTGCATTAGACTGAATTATCAAGAGTACATAACCTAAAATGCAGAATTTTGACATGTCTTAATGTACTGTATAAATGAAGTGTGATGTTAAATAAAATAATTTCCTGAGAATGACACTGCTCCAATTTTATAAGTTAGTGTTAGTTGCTCGTGTTTGTAAGACCCGGCCCAGGTTTAAGGCAAGGCAGACTACCCAGTAGTACAGTATTCTGGAGCCTCCACTTTTATGACAGCCTCCAGAAAACTGTTTTGACCAGGCCACGAGGATGCTAAACCTTGAAATCATCTCGAAGATAATGTGACAGTCGAGTAATATTTTAGCTTTGATAAATTGTTTGCTACTGTGTATACTGTATTTAACTTAAGTGCAGTTGGGAGTTTGAGTATAGGAAAAGTTTGACTAGATACAGTACAGTATATCAAAAAGAAGTTTGATACTGAAGTTTGGTAGTGCTGGTGCTACTCGTTGCCATATGTGAGAGAGAGAAGTGGATGACTGGGTGTGTTGCTTAATGTTTCTTCTCCAATACTGCTTCTGTTTTTACTCTGTACTGATGCCCCTCTGCCTCATGGATCTGGGCAATGTGATGAATCTAGATATTTATGGATATAATAAAAAAAAAAAATTGTCAAGTTTTTATAAAGATTTATCTGGCTTTCTTTTCCAGAGAACTGGTAATGACAATTCTTTTCCATTTACTGGCATCTTTAATTATTTTCAAATGTTTTGGCAGGTCTTTGATGACACATGCATCTGTGCCAGAAGAAGATAGAAAGAAACTTGGAATCACAGATGGACTTATACGTGTTTCATGTGGTTTAGAGGGTACTGAGGACCTTATTAAAGACCTGGATCAAGCTCTCAAAGCTGTGGTAAGTAATAGCAGATTTATTATTGCTACAACTACAGCATCATCCCTGATCAATTGTTGTCATTATAGTTTTATCCATATTTTACAATGATTCAAGTACAGTTGACTTTCAAAATAATGAGCAGTAGACATTGATTAATTCAACATATATTCAGGGCATTAATCGTCCTCCTCATCGTTAAGATAATATGAAGGTATATTTAGTCAGTCAAGTCACGAATTTACAGTTGGCTTTCTTGGTCTACTCTGTACTTACTCTTGGGGCCCCTTGCCTTCCTTGGTTATCTACTTATTCATGTGCAAGTAAATGGTGGGACTTGTTTCACACTTCTGTACCTCATTTGGTATAACCTGAGATACCTTGGTGTTCACGCTTTATTTTTAAATTTGTAGTGTCCGTACAATACCTACTGCATGCATTTGTCGATCAGCTTGTGTGGTGCGAGGAAGATTCCTATTATTGGATCACTAATTCTCCTAATATCAGATTTTAGAATACTGTAGTTAACAAAAATATCATCAGGAGGTGGGGAACATAACCTGTCATATACCTGTTGATTGAGGCTCGACGTCCTCATGGCCTGGTATCTGACCAAGCCTCTGGATTATAGTCTGGTCAATCGGGCTGTTTGAGTGATGCCACAATTTCAAAACTGCCACTACGCCCCTCTACCAGTTGCCACTACTTCCCCACACCTGTCCCTATCCCTCACCCCCCATCCACCTGCACATGTTGCCACTATCCCCCAGCCCCTCATTACATATGATGCCACCACCTCTCAACCCCTTCCCTTTACATCTGTTGCACTACCCCCCAAACCCCCACCTTTACATCGGTTGCCACCACTGCCCCCCCCCCCTAAACTCCACCCACATAATGCTGCCACTACCCCTCCCCCCCTCACAAATCTGCCTCTACCCCCTCCTCCCTCCTTCCCCACACACATCTGCCTCTACTCCATATGCAGGCCAAAACGCACTTAAGTCAGTGAGAATGGTGGAGTGTGCTGACCTTGCCTTCCCTAGGCAAACGAACTTTACTATAATTACATTATGCACGAAATGAATTTCTATTGGCCATACATAGAGTAACCTCTATCCCATTACCATTAGTTTAGAAACTATGCTGTCTACAAAAGGCTTCAAATATTTTATTGGCTATTGCATGGTATTATGCTGTGTTTTATTAAGATTTTGTTTAAGGCAGATATACAATGCAACCTCAATTCAGCAAACTATATGGGATCAACCTTGATCCATTGGAGTGGACTTCCCTTCAACTCTTTCAACTTTATCTTTATGCTTTTCACCATACTGGGTTACCTTCAGCTCTGGTGCCTTTGTTTGTCCCCTACCTCGAGCCTGTATGTTAAAACTGGCATCCTGTCTCAGCAGGATCGTCGTGATCGTTAGTGTCTTCGCTACCTTACGTGGTCCCTACAACATCCTCTCTGTCGTGCTTTGAACAATACCCCTTATGTTGGTCCTGTTCCCTTTCACCAACTTCCTTTTTCTGTACGGTTGTCTCTCTCGCAAGATTCTTTTGGTTCATGTTACCAATATTTCTCATGTCGGTCCGTCCTTGCCCCCGATGGAGGGTTCCCACTTCCAATGTTTTGCAAAATCCTGACCCACATGGCAAAGACTTCTAATCCTCCTACAGTTCTGAAACTTTTTCCCTGCACACTTTTCATTGCTGTCTTCACAGGTAGTTCTAAGTTTGCTGACTATGAAGGCTACTCCACTGTATTTCCTGACCCCACCTATGTCACCTTTCCCGGAGACTAGCATCATCCCGGCAGAACCTGATGCAATTCTTTGTGCTCTTAAACTGCTTTTTGGCTGTCAACAGTCCTTTGTTCTCGTATTTGATTTGCAGTGCCCTCATGGCTCTGGAGTCATTTAATCCTATCCATCCCGTGGTAGTCGAAATTCAACATTGGCCGTTTCTTATCTCTAGTAGATTTGTCTAGTTTCACTAGGTTCCCAGCTATATTGGCATTTCCTTAAATGAGTATGCAGACACTGTCACTAAGGAGCAATCCTCACTTGTACAATTTCCAGGAAAGGCATTCCTTATTCAGACTTCTACCCAGTCATTCATTCCTCAATCTGTGCCCATTGGCAGGGCCATTGGTCTTGTGTTACTGGTAACAAATTGCATGTAACCAGCAGCGGAAAACTGCTCTGGTGAGGTTAAGTATTGGCCATGCACATTTAACTCATTGGCATTTAATGGAATCCTGCCCTGATCCTTATTGTCCAAACTGCATTGTCCCTTTTACGGCCATGCATATCCTTGTTGAATGTCTTGACATCCAGGATGTTTGTGTCTTGCTCCCCGACTATCCCTCGTGGTCATTTGTCCCTCGATGCCAATCTTGGCAATACTTTTGATATAACTCGCCTTATGCACTTTTGTTTTCGTATTGGCATCCTTATTCATATTTAACGTCTTCTGAATACCCTGCAACTTTTGGTGGTGGTACATCAACCCGTCCTCTTAAAAATAACGTCACTTTTCGCTGATATGCACACTATGGCCAAATTTGGACGTAATTTGAAATGAAATACTCACAAAAGTGACGTTCTGTTCCGTTTTCTATTTGAGTCGTCCGGCTTACGCGCAGAGGTTATAAGAGGACACTTTAAATTAACGTTTTTCATTCCGTTTTGAAACTTTGAGAATTTCCTGCCCACCTAACCTATCAGAGGACCCTTAACTTACTGTTGTTGAAAAAAAAAAATCCCAAATTTATTTTCATTTTTTTTTTCATTTTCAAATTACGTCCAAATTCGGCCATACGGGTAAACGGCCAAAAGCGACGTTCTTTTTAAGAGGACAGGTTGGGTACATAGTCTTCATGGTTTGGTGCCTTCTTTTGATAATTACTTAGTTGGTATACATGTTCATAAAATATAAAGTAATGTATAATATAAAAATAAACTTTGCTTAATTACAGGGCTATTAAAGTGAGTTTAGCATAATTTATTAATGATGAAATTATGGCAATACATTTGAGAGGAAAAAGTACATTGAATCTAGAATGGGTTTTATATTGTGAATTGCAAATGAAAGCTTTGATGAGGACTGCACTACATAATTCATGTTGATAATTTTACTGTATTAGTGTAATGTAAGTTATTTGTAATAAATATTTGAAGTACACACTGTATAATTGTTGTCCTCTTCCCAGGTTCATGTTTGAGGAGCATCTCCAGGCTATTCCACTATATTAGTCACGACCCAGGAAAGACTACAGTCGTGGCTGAATGTTAACTTGCTCTAACCACAGCAAGTCCCTGTTCAGAGTACTGTATCATATTGATAGATAGCATATAATAATAATAATTATACAGTAATAGTAATTTATTGTGTTGGGACAGGAAGCCAGAGTGTATTCATAAACGTATTGGCTTTTATAGAGGTTTCCCCCCCTAAGGCCGAATTACTGACCCCGCCAGAATGCAACCCCACATGAAGTTGACTAACACCTGAGTTCCTACTTGCTACTAGGTGAAAGGAAATGTGCCCAATCATTTCTGTCCCGCCCGGGATTTGAATCTGGAATTCTCGATTGTGCGTTGAGAATGAACCCGACTGTACAGTACTACCAGCCCTGGAAACACAAACCGAAACTGTCTCTATTTTCCGCTTGTAACAACTTGTAATAAAGTTGTTACATCTTGGCTTAATGTGTTTATGACGTATTGGAACGTTGTTACAACTTGATATATTGGTTGTTATAACTGGTTAGGTGGTGTTAAAACTTGTTCGAACGTTGTACCAACGTCGTAGTTTCGGTGTGTGTTTGGCGGGAAGGTAGTAAAGTAAAAAAATCTCTACCTTTAGTATTTTATTTACACATTTATTTGTTTAATTTTGTAGAAAGATTTTGCCATGCCTTTGTTTAGCTTTTGTAGCTAGAAATATATATTTTGTATTCTGATGTCTTGCTGTTATGGAGCTACAGATTCTTAAGTACTGTTTGAATAAAATTAGAAATTTTGAGTGATGCCAAATCCATTACCATATTCTCTTCAAAAGGAAATGTTGGTTTATAAATTGTGTAATTTTTTTAAATATTACAAATACAGTATTATAAAATCAGTCATTTGTATGAATCGGTGAAAGTGGTGCACCATAAATTAATATATAAAGACCTTTGGAAGACACTAGTTTGTAAGCTTGTTGACAGAATTATTTAGAGGAACTTCCAATACAGAGAAAGCACAGGAGAAGTTACAAAATTGAGCTGTTGGCTTATGTTATTTTACTAATTTATTGACTCCTGGGTCTGTCAATGTATTTGAAATTTAATTTCAAATATTTTAGGACCATAATTAGTTGGAATAAAAAAAGTATTTAAATGTTTCATTTTATTCATTTTTTCCTTTAAAGTTACATAAAAGTGCAATATAAAGTGATTGCCGTAATCACTTTACTTTACAAAATTGAGCTTTGGGCACTTTTCATGGGGGGGGGGGGGGGGGGGGGGAAGGATTCCTACCATGGTAATCTAGAGGGCAGAAGTGTGGGGCATGTTAAGTCCTGGTTCCCTTTTCATGGTTCAGGTTTTCAATGTGGCAAAGGGTCTAATAAGTTATGAAGCGTCTCTTCTGGTCCAATCCATGTGCTTGCTGTGCATATCATTCATATATCATATGTCTATCATTCACTCACTAAAAACTAAAGCTGGGAACATTAATGAAATACCATCCATGGTATACAAGAGTACTTCCCATGCCTTTGTGCCACCCATAGCACTGTTGTTCAACAAAGCTCTAGAGTACTTCTGGACCTTCCCTGATATTGAAAAAACCACGCGTAACGCCAGTTCATAAAGAAGGCAAGCCGGCAGACATAAACAATTAGTCAAATATCAAACCTACCCATATCAAATATTTCAGAAAATCATTTATAAACACAACTACTCCTACCTTGTAACGTTTGATATACTTAGTCCCTGACAGTTTGGCTTCTGCTCCCAAAAAAGAGAGTACCAATGATACAATTATTAGTCTGCTTGATATAATCTACTCGGCCCATGACAAAACTGAATTTTTTATTGGACTCTTCATTGACCTGAGAAAGGCCTTTGATACTGTTAACCACAATTCTCTTACTTGAACTTCCCCATTATGGTGGTCTTGCTCTGGACTGCATCCGATCCTATCTTAGTGAGACACCAATATGTAGCCATCAATGATATAACCTCTCCCATTCTACCATTAACTGTAGGAGTGCCACAAGGCAGCATCCTAGGACCTGTCCTATTTCTTATATACATCAATGATCTGCTTAATGTGTCTTAACATTTTTTAAACCTATATTGTTTGCTGATGATACTACCCTCATTTACTCAGACCCCAACCCCCACACATTAAATAATGTTTTAAATAATGAATTAAAAAAAGTCCTTATGGATGTCAACCAACAAACTCTCAATAAACATAGAAAAGACCTACTACATTTTATTTGGAAGCAAAACAACAAATGCGATTCAGCTTCAGATAAACAATGTTAACATCAGCAATAAAAATAATGGAAAAGTTCCTTGGCCTATACTTAGACAAGAGACTCAACTTCAGCGCCCACATACAACACAATTAATAACATCTAAAACAGCTGGTATACTCTCAAATCAGATATTATGTACCTAACTGCTCTTCTCTCACTATATTATGCACTAATTTATCCTTATCTTACTTATGGTATCTGTGCATGGAGTTCAACCACTGCAACCTACCTTAAGTCCATCATCACCCAGCAAACATTTGCTATCAAAATAATAAACTCTGCTTTCAGACAACACTCAGCCCCCTTGTTTAATTCCCTAAACATGCTAAACATAAACTCGCTCCACACATTCTCTTGTGTCAGCTACATTTACACAACCCTGTTCTTAAATGCAAATCCTGCTCTAAAACTCTTCCTGAACAGATGTAATAGAACACATACTCACCACACCAGAAATAAATATCTTTGATATCCTCAGTCAAACTTAATCTGTGTAAACACACTATGCAAATAAAGGGACCTAGTCCATGGAACTCACTTCCCAATGAATTGAAAAGCTGTCCAACTTTTGCCTTATTCAAAAACAAAAAGTACCTAATTTCATCTTCAAAGTTTCCTACCTAATGCTTAAAACTCGCACTGTATGTAGTGCTACCCAATCCCCCAACATTTTCAAGAGGAAACTAGATTTATTCCTCCAAGGAGTGCCGGACCAACCGGGCTGTGGTGGGTATGTGGGCCTGCGGGCCGCTCCAAGCAACAGCCTGGTGGACCAAACTCTCACAAGTCAAGCCTGGCCTCGGGCCGGGCTTGGGGAGTAGAAGAACTCCCAGAACCCCATCAACCAGGTATGTACCTAAGCCATATAACTTTATCATTATGATCATTGCTGTCATTTTGTGTTATCAATATGCTTTATTGTGCCTACTAATCTTTGTCAAATTATCAATCAATGCTATCAATGTGCTTTGATATCCCTACTAATCTCTCAAATTTTCTTACAATGTAGCTGTTAGCATTTTATCAATTTTGCTAGAATTTACCTGCTTAATTATTAATATCTGTTAGATTAAGGAACTGCCCGAAACGCTGCGCATACTAGTGGCTTTAAAAGAATGTAAACAACACATGCTATGTACTCTCACAAACCCAATGTACCTTCTTGTATATATATAAATAAGTAAATAAATATAGATGCATATATTGTTTCCCTTCAATTGGAAGTTATCTGCCTATGAAGTTGGGGCTCCAGAAGAGGGGGAACACTTTATAAGCGAGAAGGGTAAAATAGGAGGTTGTGCTACCAAATTGATCAATTAGCTCATCTAGCTAAATGGTTTAGGGTTGAGCAGGCATTGGCACACCTGCGAGTGTCAATCGCAATGACAAGTATATATATGTATGTTGACGCTGAAAAAGCAGCTACGAGCGTAAACAAAATTACATAAGTAATAGAAGTGAAGATGCTAATTTCTGGGATGGCGGGGCTAGTGGTACCTTGCCTTGCGGTTACCTTGCGATGATTCCGGGGCTTAGCGTCCCCGCGGCCCGATCCTCGACCAGACCTCCAAACTTACGTACACGTAAGTTTGACCAGGAAAAAATGGAGTAGCCAACACCATCTGAGAACAAAGCAATGGAGTGAGGCATCTTTTTTAGGGAAATGCTCTTCATAACAGGAAGGGGCCTTCATATGAATCAGTGTCTTGGAAAATTTCACAAGTGGGACTGTACGTGTGTGCAAGGTAGGAACAGTACGAGGTGAGATGTTGCAAATGTGGACCGAGAGAGAATCTTACAAACGAGCCAGCCTGGCAAGATGAAGCAGGCCCCCCTGAGGGGTAGCAGTAAAAGCATGGCACAAGTGAGAGGATGTTGCAGGGACTTTGCGAGGTTGCGAAGGCGATAATGATCACGATGATCTTTGAGACAAAACACGAACGAACGAGAGACCAGAGCTGAGGCATGGTCTAGTACTGTGCAGAGCATAAAGACAATGTGCTATGACTCACTCTGAGGTATGTTGTTTATTGTTCCCATTGTCACACTATGGTAATCCCCTTCTGTAGGGTTAATGTTAAAATTTTGGGATTGATCTTTGGCACCCACATGTCTTAGTCACCCTATGTCGCCAACCCGTTCTCGCAAATTTAATAAGTCAATATTGACTTATTAAATATGTGCATAGGTGACATACTTAACATAATAAAGATTCATAGAAAACACCGACCTTACCTAACCTACTTAGTATGTTGAGATAAGCATCTTATTGCTTCGTAATTACAATTATTACCTAACCTATAATAGGTATAGGTTAAGTAATAATTGTAATTACGAAGCAATAAGATGCTTATCTTAAGATACTAACAAGGTGAATCTTGAGTATCTTGAGTATCTTGAGATGATTTCGGGGCTTTTTTAGTGTCCCCGCGGCCCGGTCCTCGACCAGGCCTCCACCCCCAGGAAGCAGCCCGTGACAGCTGACTAACACCCAGGTACCTATTTTACTGCTAGGTAACAGGGGCATAGGGTGAAAGAAACTCTGCCCATTGTTTCTCGCCGGCGCCTGGGATCGAACCCAGGTCCACAGGATCACAAGTCCAGCGTGCTGTCCGCTCGGCTCCCTCAGGTTAGGTAAGGTTGGTGTTTTCTATGAATCTTTTTAAGGGTATCTATTATGTTTAGTATATCACCTATGCACGTAGTTAATAAGTCAATATTGACTTTACGAATTTGCGAGAACGGGTTGATGTCGCTCACCAAGTTGGATGCTCTAAGGCCCTTACATTAGACTTGTGCTATGACTCACTCTGTCTGCGGAAAAGCAGAGGAATAGGCAAGGCAATCATAATTGAGCTTAGACAGTACAAGGAAGGAGTGGAATTATGAGACACGGTGACCAAATCACATGTCAGAAATGAAGAAACAATTTTTCAGTCACGTTTTTGCGACTCATTACTTGTATGGGATAAGACTTCAAGTAAGGTTAGGTAAG